TAAATATGGTTGTAAAGGGAAGATATACCATTAGAAATAGTCATTGGAGAGAGATGCACACAATATGTTATCCTTGTGATATAGATTATAATATAATAGGAATCTTTAAAGATTTTGAAAATGACTCCAAGTTTATTTTAACACGTCTGAACGTTACTGAAGTAAAGTTCTCAAGACCTTCAGCGAGCCACATAACGAATAGTTCTAGCCAAGATAAAATCATTAAAGCATATTCGTCGCTTCCAGTTCCTCTTTTGGCAAATATTTACAATAAATTTAAATACGATTTTACTCTTTTTGATTATAAAATTCCCTTAGCCTTGCCTAAAGATAAAATATATTAAACTATTATATAAATCAATAGCTGCGAACACTTTGGACATAAAGCCCAGAAATTAAAAGTGGTTCGCCCCAGCTCCTTTCATTGCGATGTTTCTGTCGATATTGCCCTATAGTTTTGCTAACAAAGTTGCATTGTTATTAAACTTCAACTGACAGTGTTTCGGGTGTAATCCTTTGTGAGTATAAGGCAATCTTCATTATTCTAATGGTATTTGCCTAATGATATTTGATAGGAATGCTGTTTTGCTCTACCTGACGTGTTATTGTACTGAATGCTCAGTACGTTCTCAAATATTTGCAAAAAAAAAAAAAATCTTCCAAGTAATAGTAACAAATTGAAGGCTCGTGTTCGTAAACTTGTGCAAATGTTTGAATGTAATTTTCTCTAGTTTTTTTTTTATTAAAACAGTTTTCTGTCATTTTAATGTAAATTTTCTATTAAGTTTAATATGTTTCATGCTTTTTGATGTTTTTGATGTTTACGTAATTCGTAATTCAGCCTTTTTGTCTGCTATGTTTTATGCTTTTATGATGTTTTTGAATTATCATAATACCATTATCATATATAGATATGGTGCATGTGAATTATTATACCAGCTGGGCATGAGCCCTTAAACTGCGGGTAAATGGTATGCCTAGCTGGTTAGCTAGCCACTGCCTTGATTGTTTCCTCCTATATGTGTTATTGTTAAATATAAAATAGAAGGCGCTATATAAATCTAAATTATTATTACTATTAAAAAAATAAAAAATAAAAACGTTAATTGGTGAATGTAAATAAAAGTGGCATTAAAATGCGAGATTTGACGGCGTAAATCGTTGCCTGGATAAAACGGCTCCTAAATATTATGACGAAGCAAAGTAGAAAATTATCTCAGAATACTTCAGAAATTATGCATGGTAAAAGTAATGTTTAAAGTGACATGTTTGAAATATACAGATATCAATGCATTTGATTTACCAGTGTTCTATAAAAAGTAATATTCACGCAGAGTTTAACAAACGTAACAAGAAACAGGTTAGGCCTAATAATATTTTTTATGTTGAATTAGCAACTATGGGGTAATCACTCACTACAACTAAAAAAACAAATCACTCTTCAACAGACACTAGATTATCAGTGGTATAATTTTAATTAAGTACATGGTTAACAACAATCAGTTTTGATAATAAATGACTTATTAAAATTGCAATTGCAGGTAAATTGGCTAAATGAATATTTATGTATAATTAAGGCTATAGGCCTACCTGATCGCCTTATGGACAAAATGCTGGATTGGTAAACCTTGATTGTAACAATATGCTGATTTAATTGATTTATTTCATACAGATGCATTATAATTACAGTGTGTTATATGTAAGTGTGCTATTTTTAAATATGAATTTACTGTATTATGGAAATTGAAATATTCAAAAGATAAATAAAAAGATAATATAATACCAGAAAGGTATTAACACAAATACATTGTATTCGTGTTCTGTAAGTGAAATGTTGGTTCCAACTAATGGACAGAATAGATGGGAAAATATTTCAATGATAACAACACTGATTGGAAATCATGTTGGTTACCCAAAATACAAACACAATAATTTATGTATGGAAAATTAAGGAATCCGCATTGTGCAGGAAATGTGGATTTCCTGAAGATGAAAACCAGAAGCTCGTCAATTTGGCCCCAAGTCAACTCGACCTCATGACTGCTCACCCCCAAGTCAACTTGGCCCCGAATGTTTATTTATAAAAAAAAGTGAGTGAAAGATATACCGTTGAATCCAAGGCAATAATTCGTCGCTCACATCACGAACTAACACAATCTACTTTGATCACAGTAGCGCGTCAAAACGAGCGCGTATTGGTTGTCAAGCAATTTTGTATTCTTTACTACACAAAAAGTCCTTAACGACAACAGCGCGTATTTTGACGCGCTTTTTTGATTTCACGAACTAACACAATTCAATTTAATTGTGTTAGTTCGTGATGTGAGCGACGATAATATCAAAAAAGAAAGATTTATATATTACTTGTGCCACTCAAAGAAATCTATCTAATTTGTAAATTTAAGTATGCCCCTTTAGACGCTCGGAAATGGCACTCTCAGAAGGTAAAAATGCTTTTTCAAAGCAATGTTCCTCCTCGAGAAAAATTATTGACTTCTTACCGACAAGAGCTACGGTATGCTCCCCTCCCTTAGACATCCCTTCCCTCACGGACGTCGCAAAGGTTTAATAAAGGACCTATAGCCTACTCTATTCTGGGAGTCGCAAAGCAAATTATGTTTATGGCACCTCTAGACACCCATTCAGACTTAAAATTTGAATATTTTGTCTCCATTTTTTTAAAATGTTTTGACTAATGTAGAGAGGTCCTGCCGGCCGCCTGGGCACCTCATTCCCACTGGATTAATAATGATATATGTCCTACAGTCGATGTCAGAGACACATTATGCTGTTATGTATCAACAAAGCCCTTTTAGATCTATAGTGCTATAGAGTGAGAATCCTATGTGTAGGGAAACCACAGGGGCCCATAAGGGTCGGTGGCCTTGCGGACGTTGCACGAGAGCGCACGCGCATTAAGCCACTGAGCATGGATAGCTGTTCTAGCTTGGTAGTATAGGCATTCCGTAATGCCCTAAATGGTCTACGCTAATAAATGCCGTACTCGCGCGCGCCCAGTTTGTATAAGCGCATACAGTACAGTACGTCACTGAGCTAAATGATTTGAGTTGCGGAATTTACATTTCGTACAGTAGCGTACATAAATCGCCTAAAATGTAATGAAATTAGCATAGAAAATTTATGAAACACGCAAATTAAACATAGACCTACATTGAAACTCAAATTGGCTTTATTAATCATATTTTTGCTTTATGTACCTGTATTATCAACAAACCGACTTCCTGAAATCGTTTTAAAAAGCTTAAAATGCTCAGATCGTCGGAGCGGCGGGGGAAGGGTGATTCCCGTGCTGCTTGGACCCCCCCCCCACCCCCATCCCGCCAGCAAACTGGTATAGTCACACACGCATTTCAAATCTCTCAGGTTGGTAACTATGTGAGAGGCCCGCTGGACGTTTTAATTTTAAAAATAGCCCTGGGCACTGCCCACTCCTACACCACAGAATATAATACGACTCAAAATCGCTTTCAACTAAATTTAGACATTCCTAACCATAAGAAAAATGCTAAATAAGATGAATTGTCTAAGATTGATTTTGCGATAAGTCTGGTGTGCTGCTGAAAAAAAGTGGGTAAGTGCCAGAAACATTAGCCTAGCCTAGTGTAGGAGATGCAAGGTACAAAGCCTATCTCAGAGAATAAAATCTCAAAAAATTAAATAATCTCAATAAATTTGATTTGATTAGAGAGGGCGCACTTTATTTAGCGTATCTGCCATTTCCACGAATCGGTAGACATCTTGAAGTGATGACAAACAGCCCAAGTCAGTGGTGCGTAACCAAGAGAAATAAGATAAGCTTTGAGGCTAAATTCTTGTCCTCATGTTATCTAAAAATTCATAACTCTATAACGGAGGGTCGTATCACATTATTTTTTTCTGGAAAATATTCTCAAAAGATTATTCTACACCACTATACGATTTAAAAATTTATTGAAAAATGTTTTTGACTTTTTGATTTCTAGACGCCCGAAACAAACTTTTATTGTAACAAGTATTGTGTATATTAAAGTAGCATCGTAAGAAAAGCAAAATAAGTAAAATTGATACTAAAGAGACTCGTGTGGTTGAAATTACTTTAAAATCGGCCTATCCGGACCGGAAAATTCCATCGATATAGCCGAAATTCGACTTATAAAAATTCGAATTAAACAAACAATTTTCACACTAATACATAGGAAAGAATTGGGACTTTTTCAAAAATTCGACTGACGCGAATTTTCGACTTAAACAGAGTCGACTTTGGCGGACTCGACTGTAGAACCCCACTTTATTAGTATTTCTTTCTATTCTCTTTCTATTTTCTAACTCATCAAACTTACCATTGAATTTGTAATACCTTTGACAGGCTTATTGTTATTGAGGCTTCGACCTGAATACGGTGGTGATTGCAAACGTTGTGTCCATTGTCCATCGCCAGTAACCGTAATAGC